GAAAAAAAAAAAAAAAAAAAAAAGGAAGGAGTCTAGACTTCTGGTGGTGAACACATGATAGAGAATATAGATGTTTTATTATAAAGTTGTCCACCTAAGATTTATATAACATCATTAATTGATGTCACTCCAATAAATTATTAAAAAATAAAAATGAAATAATAAATAGTTTTTAAAAATAACTTGATCTTTTTGTGCCTACAATGTAGATTTATCACAAGAAGTGGTCCTACATTATTATTTCATCCAAACATGCCCAGTGCTATTTGTTTAGTTAAAATTTAGAACTGGCTTCTAAAACAATAATATGGCACCTAGGGGGATAAGAAGTGCTTTCTCAGTGAGTGAATACCGAGGTAAAGATTTTCCCTAATGTTTAATGCTCGCGCTGGTTAAAGGGGTCCCTCTGACATCACACATGGCCTTGTTTCCTGCACATGACCTTGGTTTGGCAGGGACAAATGCTCGCTGCAGCTGTGTACAGACAGGTACGAACCACTTTGTCAAGGGGATTTAACTTCTAATGGCTTTAACATCAACCCAAGTAGGCTCAAATGCTCACGAATTTAAGTATCTTATATTTTTGACTTATATTATTACCCTTTTTTATACTTTGTGGCGGATTATACAATAGTTCACACACAACAGCTAAACTGCTTTTTAAACTGTGAGCTCTTGAAGAGGCCAAACATCGTCTAGCCAGCCTGTTTCTATGATTTATTACCCCAGCTGCCTTATTTCCCTCCGCTCCGGGCTTGAAACGAACTGGGGAAGACCCACACAGTCAGACTAGTAAAGCCCTGCTTATTGTCCCTAAATTGCCCAATAACCCCTTCTCCAGGGAAGGAAACATACTATTTCTCCTTAAAATGCATTCCTCTTCCTGCTCCCTGTGCTTAAAAAAGACAAATCTTAGCCACTTCGACAAGATACTTAATTAAACAGAGTGAGGGTCAATACCATTCTGAAAGGAACATTTGTCTAAGCTAATTGATCAGATCTGCCTTTGATAAACCCAGACTCTCCTAAGGAAAGTAGGGTCTGGATCCCTGGGGAGGAGGAGGGGTGCGAGGGGGTTTCAGGACACATACATTTCTGTGATGGTCTCAGGCAGATTTGTGGGGATCTCCGCGAGACCTTTCCCACGGCAGTCTACGATATTGTTGCTACAGGTGCAAGCGGCTGGACAGTGCAGGACGCTGCAAGAAGGAGCCATAAATGACTGGTGACCTAAAATAAACAAACAAAACAAACATAAACAGCAAGTATATTCTTCCTCCTGAAAGTCATAATTGTGAGACATGCAAGCTTATCTCAAATAACAAACAAAGCATGTCAAAAACATTTCTCTATATACCTGATTATAAAATGGCCTTTGTTTCCAAAATATACTTTAGGAAGCATGCATTTATATAATTTTGGGGTCAATATCCAGACGAAGCAAATGAGATTTTTAAAAGGAATTATCTTATATAATAAAAGACTAATATGCAAATCGACCAAACGGTGGATTGCTATGATGTGCACTGACCACCAGGAGGCAGACGCTCAATGCAGGAGCTGTCCCCTGGTGGTCAGTGCGCTCCCACAGGGGGAGCTCCGCTCAGCCAGAACCCGGGCTCATGGCTGGCGACCACAGTGGCGGTGGTGGGAGACTTTCCTGCCTTGGCGGCAGCGCTAAGGATGTCTAACGGATGGCTTAGGCCCACTCCCCCACAGAGAGCAGGCCTAAGCCATCAGTAAGACATCCCCCGAGGGCTCCCAGACTGTGAGAGGGCAGGCCAGGCTGAGGGATCTCCCCTGAGTGCACGAATTTTGTGCACTGGGCCTCTAGTACCAATTATAAGTGTAAGACTTGAAATCATGGTGAGAAAGTCTAAATTCAGATTCCAAAAGTAAAATTCTATTCAAAACTATTCTGTGTTCCAAAAATACAGCAACTTCAGACTAGTCTATATTTCATTTTCTAATAAGCTTAAATAGAGCTTGGTCTTTACTAAACTTATACAGCTTAACTTACTTTACCTCAATAATAAAAATGTCCCTCCTGGTAGACATAGCTGTTGATTTTAAATAAGTAATCACGTGACCATAAATGTGGGGGGGAAACTAGATCATACTTAGTTTAATGTCTGAATAGGTTCAAAATGACCATTTTCTTTGGAGCTATTATAATAATTTGTAACATGTCACTCTGACATTGTTAATTGACATGCTTTATTTTTTGGCTTCCTGTGGCCTAAAATGTTGGCATAAGTAGTTTCTCGCAGGTATATAATTTAACTACTCATTATTTGAAAACAAAATTATTTTGAAATGAGATTTTACTGTTTGAAGGATGCACAACAGTGTCAGCAGTATTTTAGCAAATGGGCAGGTGCACACATTGGCCCTGCAGCAGGGACATCCCTCTCAGGCCTGCAGGGAGAGCACCCGCGTGCTGGGGATACGCCAGGCAGTGGCAGCAGGCTATTGCTAACCCTGTCCCTCCCAACACCTCTCAGACTCCACAAACACACTCTCAGTCTAAAAAAGAAACGTGAACTTGCCTTCTTCCTCATCTAGAAAACGAGGGGCGGGGGGAGGGAAGTGAAGAGAGAAAAAGTGGTTAGTGACAAATTGTGAGTCATTTCATTATCTAATTTTAAAAAAAATTCAAGCAGGCCTATTGAGAACATTTCATGACATCACAAGGAAATTTTGTGTGGGTTATAAAAAGTGTGGGAAAGTACATAAAGAGGACTAAAAGGTAACAATAACTTAGAATCCTATATTGGCACCTCTTCTCATTCCTTTAAGAAACTGGCAACCATTTATGCCTCTTATTGTTTGTTGAACAGTCAGTTCTAAAGGAGAATCAGCCCTGTATTTATAAAGGAAATTATATGTTAATATGGATCAATAAAATATAAATTGGGGCAAAAATAAGTTTACAGTTTTTGTATGGAAAATAATACAATAATTAATAAATACTAATATAAGAATAAACTCTGTGTTTTGCATACTCACAACTGTAAACCTACTTTTGCCCCACCTTTATTAACACACAGGCACTTCCTCAAGAACTGCTCTTTCCTCTCAACAGTCAAGAGACAGGTGGCTCAACACTCAAGGGACTTCAGCCAGAACAAAATTATTGTGGT